TATAACTTATTATTTGTGGAATACTGAACAAATATAATGATTAAAATAAAAAGAATGGAAAAAATTGTGACTTTTAATTCACACTGACCATTGTTGTAGTTCAGTAGTAATTGTGGTGATCATTCAATTTTACGTTGCGGTTAAGTCAGCGAGCATGATGATATTTTACAAATGAATGTATTGACCTTACCATGAGGCATAATTTTTTCTAAGAATTCGATTTTAGTAATATTATACGAAAACCCCCTTTATTTGTACCCAAAAAATACATGCACTAATAACTAATTAATATGAAGTATTTTCTATAACATAGAATTTTTTACTCGTATTTTTTAGGCAGAGTATGTTTATTTAAACTCTAAATATTTGAATAAAAAAATGTATTCATGTTCTAAACGCCAGTGTAGTAATTTATGATTTCAATCTCACCTTCATTGTTATTTTCCCAAACATTTCTTTTCATATTTTCACCGTTCCTAAGTCCTAACGCAACCTCTCTAGACTAACCCTAACCTCTTTTCATATAGTTTTAATGCTCTGTTTTCCAAAAATGGAGCATTAATGTGTAGATATCTGAAAGTGAAGTTTTGCAGGTGATATTGGGGAATGGCAGCCTAATGGAGCAATGAAAATCATTGATAGGAAAAAGAATATATTTAAGTTGTCTCAAGGAGAATATGTTGCTGTAGAAAGCCTGGAAAGCACTTACTCTAGATGCCCTCTTGTGGCAGCAGTAAGTTAAACTCTTTCTTTTTCCCATAACATGAGAAAAAACTGCAAATTGTATGGAAAATCTTATTTCTTACATATTATGAGTTTCTGTGATTTTGAACAGATTTGGGTTTATGGGAACAGTTTTGAATCTTTCTTGGTGGCCGTGGCAATTCCAGAGAGAAAGGCACTTGAAGATTGGGCTCAAATTAATAAGGAAACTGGAGGCTTTGTAGAACTATGTAAGAATCCGAGGGCGAAAAAGTATGTTTTGGATGAGTTAAACAGTACTGCTAAGCAACACAAAGTAAATGAAACTCTATTCCGTTTTCTTGATTCTATAGTCCATATATACTTTACTCTATGCCTAATTGCAATCTTCATGCAAAACTTGTCAGCTACGCGGCTTTGAAATGTTAAGGGCCGTTCACCTTGAGCCAGTTCCTTTTGACATTGAGAGGGATCTTGTTACTCCCACCTTCAAGCTGAAAAGACCACAACTTCTTAACTATTACAAGGTAAAATTATATATTTTCTTTTGAAATAATGACAAATATATGACCAAATAAAAATAATGGAAAAAAATCGACCTCTACTATGAAGTGATCATAGTTGTACTTTTGCAGTGATATTTGTTATCACATTAGTGTTTAATTTAAATAGCTATTGCCATGTTAGTATTTTCACAGTGATTGTAGTTGCCATATTATCATATTTTGTCCATAAGTTCTATTGTTGTAGTATTACATGAAACCTCCATTTCTTATTCATTTTTTCCATTTGAATCCTGACCTGTATTTCTTTTACTATATTGACTTGCAATTTGAACAAAAAGATCAACTCGATATCAATAGAACAACTGGATATTTTACTTGGCTTTGTTTCTTTGTGATTATTCAAGTACCACTAGAAATCAAAATTTGATAGGAGCAGTAACACTGTAATAGTAAACCAAGAAGCCAAGACCCTATATTTTCACTTATTTCATATTAGTCGGATGTGGGGTGACACGACAATTACAATTTCCCGAGGGTCCATCCCCGCAATTTACCCCATTCTAACTAATTAACAGTTTCCCAATACATTTAGCCACTAAATTTTAACTCACAATCATGTTCAGTTAGCTAGTTAGCTTCTTCCTTTGCCAACTTAACGCAGTCCTTTCAAAATTTGCAGGATTGCATTGATCAACTGTATAAAGAAGCAAAGGGCATGTCATCATAGCAACTATAAAGTCTTACATCCACGCAAGAAGCTGATGCATGAACTATGAACATTATTAGTTACAAAGTTGTCCCTCCCATGTCTCTGGAAGAACTTCTGTACCAGTAATTATTTTATTGTTCCAGGAACCTTTCTTGGAGACAAAGGAATGAAATACAATTGTGACATAATATTTGTTCAAAAGCAGAGACAGGAACTCGTATAATATATGGAGTATATTCCAAACAGTAAATACATTGTTTTTGATCTTTGTATCAAGGAACTGGTCATAAAATATGGAATAACTAAATGGAAAAGATTAATAATGGCCTTGATATAATGTACTCATTTGATAAGGTAAGAAATTGAGTAATGGCTCAAAACAAAAGATGTTCAACATTATGGTATCCATATTTTCAAAAAAAAAAAAAACTTATGATATCAATGACATGATGAGTCATAGTCATCATGTTGATAATTTTCATCTCCACGAGTTCTTCACCATTTTAAGCTTACTTAGAATGGTCATCAGGTGAACGGCCCTCGGATTCTCACATAGTACTTCACTATGTTGATGAGTCACAGTCATCATGCTGTACTCTTCTTCATGTTCACAAATGAGAATGGTACCAGTTTTGGAATTATATGAATTGGGTATAACAAGTTCTCTTTCAATTTCTGAAATGGGTATTAGAAGTTTTCTCTATAATGGTAGCTCCTCTAGAGTAGGGGTGGACTCGGGTCGGGCGGCCCGGCCCGGTACTGTTTGGGCCCGGCCCGGTACCCGGTCTTGGATCCGGTTCGGGCCAACCGGAACCGGTCAGTTCCCGGTGCGGGCTCGGGCCTTGAAAATGGTGAACCGGCCCGGCCGGTTCGGGCCATTTTTTTTTTCAATTTTTTTTGTTTCTACCGGGTAGGGCTAGGTGTTTTGGGGGCTCGGGGGTAATTTAGAAAGACAAGAAAAAAAACAAAAAACAAAAAAACTTGAACCGGAAACCAGCCTGGCCCGGCCCGGAACCGCCGGCTACCCAGGCCGGTTCCGGTTCCCTACTTCCCAAACAAAAGTCCGGACGGGCCCAGGCCGGAACCGGCCCGGCCCGGGTCCATCCCTACTCTAGAGTGCCTTCACTTATGAGAATTCTCGCACATGGGTTATGTTACACGGGATGTTGTTATCTATATTAGGCTGTGTTAATGATGTAAAAAAAGTGGTGTTAAAGATTGAGATTCATAGAACTTGTGTGACTACATAAATAGTGAGAAAAAATAGTTGAGCACTTCTTTGTAAATACTAAATAGCACTTAGGAGTGTTTGGAATTTATTCAAAGCAGTAGATTCAGAATAGGTTTTTTCAGAACTCGATTTCCCCCAACTTCTCAAAAACTACTTCTAGGAGTAATTTGGAGCGCCTAGAAGCTTCTACACTTTCACCCAAACACTCAAATATTTGTTTCTTTTCCTTCAAGGAGCCGAAGCAATTTGAAGAAGTATATCCAAACACCCCCCCCCCCCCCCCCTCAATACTTTATTGGTTGGTTGATCACCTTCATTGTTATTATCATAAATTAAGCTTCAATTCAAATTGAATCGTAACTTTTGGGAAAATTACATTTGTACACAAAATAAGTACACAAATTGTATATAAACTCTCAAATTGCCTGCAAAAATACATGAGTACACATGCAATGCACAATTTGTGTACAACAATAATTACCGTACTCTTAGGACTTAAAATGAAAGTATTTATCATAGCACTTACGACATAGAAAACATACAAAACTTTTGCAAAAAAATTACCTGATTGATAATAGGGATATCCAAACTATATACTCCGTAAAAAAATGGAGAAGATGAATGGTGCATTGTGAATGAATATGAGTTAGTAATTAGGGTTACAAGTCTCCCTAGGGGAGTATATAGAGAGCGGGTTGAGCCACTAATATGGGCTCGATAGCCCCAACTATATAAAGGCTAATATAGTAGATACAATGTATACTAAAATGTACAATAATACAAATGATGTCCATTAAGTGTGTGCGGATCGCTGTCCAAACCCAATAGGTTGAGACTGGGGTTCAAGTCTATATACTCTATCATTACCATTATTTCTTATTTATGGTTATTGATATAGGGGTGTGCACAAATCCATTCAAAAAAATATGTACCAAATCAAATTGAAATAAAATGCAGTCTGGTTTTGCAGTAATGACTAATGACGTATTACAATTCGGATTTCTAGTTCTATTTTGTTAAGAATCAAAGTTAAATCAAATATATTACTATCGTATAATATCTATAAACTATATTATTATTAAACTATTAGTTCAAATAAAGTGTCAACGTTAATTTGGGATGGAGGAAAGACATCACATGCAATACCTTTTTGCCTTCATCAAGGATGAAAGAAAAACTAGAAACTAAAGTGTTGTTCATCTTATTCAATTACCTAAGATAATATTTTCTTAGGTAATTTATAAGCAAATAATTACATTTCTTATATGTTTGTTGACATGTCAACTATTGTAATGCATGTAGGCATTGTTGTTGAAATTGTTGACAGGATCATTGACGGACGTACCTCCGGCATTGTGATTAATTTTTTAATGCTTAATCAGTTTTTTACCTATAGAAATTGTAATGTTTTTTTATCTGTAACATGATCATTGGTATGCTTAATAACACTTCAAGTGTGGAATAAATCTGTGAAAAAATTTCAATTGATCTCTTTTTATCTCATTAATGAATGTGTATTGAGTATTAAACATATTGTCTCAGTAGCGTGTAAAGTGTAAACATACACTCCGTAATCCATATTAATCTATTTAACTTGGATCTTTTAATGACAAGAAATTTCACGTTTTCAAAATTTTAATATTATTGCTGTGAACTGCAGAGAATATTCAAGGATTCGAAATGAATTAGATACCTTCAGAGAAAGTGAGAAACTTTCTGAGTTTCTACTTTATTATCTTGAGCTAGGGCCTAGGAGTATTATTGGGATTTGGCAGCGGGACACAAATAAGTTCAACAAACAAGAGAACTACAACGCCACTTAAAGAATATAAGGGTTTTTTCCTTTTGAATCATAATTTCCTATTTTGTCAATGACACAAGTCACATGGCGGAAAATATCAAACAAATTAATTCAAAACCATGAACCTATTTTGCATGAACCTCTTTTGTTTTCATTTACTACTAGTGGCTGATGGGATAAAATTACTGTTTACATGTAAAAATCTTGTATGAAAAAACTCTTCAAAGTTCAAATCAGTGGCTACTTCATGCTATTGTAAACAGTTCACAAGTGTACATAAAAGTCAGGTCTCACAATGCTCAAAAATGTGAAACCAATTCAAGACAGCAAACTATTAATGCAAATATGAAGGCGGGGATTTCGGCACCGAGAATTGAACATCCCAATACAATACTGTCCATCTACACAAGGAGAACCGCATTGATGCAGCCATCATTTTCAGGATTATTCGTCACTTGAGCATACTTCCCTGCATAACCCCATGTTTGTAAATGAAACTTGTATAAAGGACAAAGCATGAAAAACATGCATAATTATTAGGAGTGGTAAAGAATTCATTTCCCTACTGTCTTTACAAAGGTAAATTCATTCCATTGATAATAAGTTAGTAATGATGAATTGGATGAAATCCATCCATTTGTGCATGGATGGTGAGAAGTTACAACCAATCCACATATTCGCATGAATTATTCACATGAAGAGTAATAAAAAAAATTACAAGTTGGATATCCGCAACAGCAACAACATCCAAGCCTTAATCCATAAGAGTTTGAGGTCGGCAGATTAGATATCAAAAAAGTCAATTGCGCCCTCGAACTAAAAAACGTTCAATTAAGCCCACAAACTTTAGAAAAATAATCAATTAAGTCATTTAACCTATACAGAACCGATTAGCCGGTTACTCCACCTATGTGGCCGGTATTTCACATTTTTGCTTTTATTTTTTCTTCTCTATTCATTTATTCTTTCTTTCTTCCACCAGCCCCAAATCACCTACTCCTCTTCCTTATATTCTGCCATAAGCTGCTACACACCTCCTTTCTTCATCGGATTCTTTCCTTCCCCTCTCCAGACATATCTTCTTCAACAAGCTCAAAAATGGATCTTCAGTGATAGAATTTGAGTCTTCAAGGGGCCCTTGGCCACCAGCTCTCTTCTTCTTCGGTCGTCGAAATAACCTCTCTTTTTTCTTGGTCTTTTACACTCCTGCATCGAGAATTGGATCCGTCCGGTGAGGAGATCACCCATATCGTCTACGTCTCCTCCAGTGAGCTGGGCTTGAGGATTTAAGTCAACCCCGTCATACTCTGCTCGACTGAAAAGGGAGAAGCTGGAGTGCAGCCAGAGCCGGGCCGGAGGGCGTTAATGGAGTTCCCAAATGCGTGCAGCAACGTGATCTACAGTGTTTGGAGTATATGAGAGATGAGCTCGAGCTGGAAGGCTGAAATCACTTTTTTAAGAGATTCTTCTCACGAGTCTACTGTGATCCGTAGACTAATCTAGGCCATACATAGACTAAGAAATAAAATCATGGAACCATGTGTGGAAGAAGAGAGAAAAACAAAAATGGAGGAGAGAAGGGTTGAACGGGGGAGGAGAGAATCTCACGAGGAAAAGAGAAGGTGCAGCAGGTTGGGGAAAGAAAAAAGAAGGGGAAGAAGGTGAGGTGAGGATGATGGAAGAGACAAAGAAGTAGCAGAAAAGAAAAGAAAAAAATGAACGAAAAAGAAAAACAGTGAAATGGATTCATGGCCGGCGACGTAGGCATATATCAACTGGCTAACCGTTTTTTACAGGTTAAATGACTTATTTGACTGTTTTTCTACAGTTCGTAGACTTAATTGAGTGTTTTCTTAGTTCGAGGGCTTAATTAACTTTTTTGGTATACTACGGGGGCTTATTTGACAGTTTTCCCAAATTTATTCAATGGAAGGATCTTATTAAATAGCTCAAGCATGGGATGGGAAATCCATCCATTTTGCACCTCCTTAAAATAACAAGGAAAAAGAACAAAAAACAATCTTACCCCAGACAACTTTTCCAGCAGGAGTTACAAGACCAAGTTCACTGACGTTCACCTGAAATCAGGGCGGGGGTCAATAACTGAAGCATAATCAATTTAATAGTGGGCATATGATAAAAGTTAGTTTGCGTCTGGTAAAGATTATACCTCAATGATGGTTCCTTTGGTTATGACGCCAAGAGATGTATACATTGCACCATTTGGGTTTTTCTTCACACCAATGATTTCAAGATTGAAAGTACACTTGAGTTCAGGGTGCGTCACATGAGCTTTAGTGAAACGCATGCCTGAGGGTCGTATGAAACGCTCATACTTTGGAGGTTTTCTAGTAAAAGTTGGACCTACAAAAGTGGCTTTTGTGACCATCCTCTTCCATTGTTTGGCTGCATTACAAATCAAAACAACATTTTCAGAAAATGTTGGGTGGTTGATAATGAACTTTCTGAAACATACAAAACACCACACTATTAACAAGCAATCACACTTAGACTGAGTGTTTATCGATACAGAAGCAAAACAACATCAGAGAACAATGTGAAGCCTGAAGTCTAGGAGGAACAATCAAGCAACCTATACACAAGGTCACACGTAGACACTCCTATAGCAAATAAGTCAAGCACAAAGATCAAAAATTTTAAAAAGAACTTCAAATAAAAAAACAAGTAAATGCACGTGTGTAACCAAGTACATTGTGGAGCACTTACTCTTTCTTTTGCCAGTTCTGATCACTTTAAACATTTCATCTTCAGCCACAGGCCTTACCTAGGAGGTAGATATAGCAATTTAACTAATTTTCCAATTTATGTACCAGATAACAATATAAAACATGTGTGCTGAGTGCTGAGAGATGCTAAAAGCAATAAAAAAACATAGGCAACATAAAATAATTACTGGCAGGGTGTGATGCAATCATGCAAGTTGAATCCATATTACCTTAGGTAATGGAACATCCCATTTTCCTGCTTTCTCTTTCCTCTTTTGCTTTATGGTATTGCTGATGACCTAAAATGATCAAGAAATGGCAATTATATACCGCAGATGAAACAGGGGAAAAGTACAAAGATTGGTAAATAACATGCCTTCGCTCTTGTGGTACTTTCACGATCAAGAAGATAGGCTGGAATAGCTCCATCGTGTACTTCATCATCAACCTTTTTCCTTGACGATGACTCTTCATGCATTGCCAATCTGATCACATGACAGCATAATAAAATATAAACATGGGAGTAACATTTATTCTCCCACACTCTGAAGTATTGATATCAAAAACCCATTCCTTTCGATGTTTGCAGCAAGTGGTAAACCAAACAGGATTTTTGTTGAAAGTGATAGCAATATGCTTAAATTGAATGTGACAATGATGATACTATATGGCTAGAAAAGGGATTCCTGTGAGGAAAAAACAGATTTTACAAAGTTAAACTCGAAAATATGAACCCAAAAGAATCTAGCTTACGTTTTCTTCATCAAGGCCTTTTCACGGTAGTTCTTCTTAGCTATCATCTTACCCTTGATACCCAGAGTCTGTTCCAATACCAGGAAAGTTAACACTTAGATCACAACCCAATCAGAAATCGAAACAGCATCCATATGGGCATGCGAGGAGTGTTAGAAATTTAAAGAACAACACCTTTTGAGCAATCTGGGAATGCTTGTGAGGCTCACGAGCCTCCTTCTTGCGTTTCTTCTCGAAGTGATCATAGCGGTAGCCATATCTTTTCCGGTGCAGCTCTATGTAATCTCCCTGCGGCTGTTAGGAGAATTTCAAGCAGTATCAGCATTAGATAACTGATAATCGGCAAAAAAACAATGCAACGAAGATGACCAGGGACGAACCATGTTTCAGAATTTCAGAATGTCTGAACCACAGAAACTATCAGAGAGGGGAGGCAGTTAAACCCTAGTTTGATTTTAGAATGATATCAGAAGGTTTTGTACCTGGGCCAGTATCGGGACACGGGCTTAAAATCAAATTTCCCACACCGGTTTATATGAAGATTTGACAATCCACCACCATTTTTGAAGAAAAAAAAGATAGCAGATTTTTTTTAATATCTTCAAAAACTGGTTTTTATTATATGCTCGTTACATAAAACAAATACTCTCTCTGTCCCATTGTAGTTAGCCAAACTTGACTTTTCAAGTTAATGACATCCAACTTTGGCTGATTATATATTAACATGCAGAAGTATTGGTAATATGAAAATGTTTTTTGTTAAAAATATCATCATAAAGGTATAAAGTTATTAAATTGTGCATAAATATATTAGTTAAAATAATTGGTCAAAGATTACCATCTTTGATAAGAAAAGTCAAAGATGACTAACTAAATGGGACGAAGGTATTACAATGTATTTTAATTATGAGATCTTAATTATAACACTTGAGCAGAAAAGATCTTGTCCTAAGAACTAAAACAGTTGAAATTTTATATTTTAAAAATTTATACGTAATAGGTGCAATATTAGTGTTATATCATACTCCGTAAAAAGATATGAATTTTGATATATTCCTGTAAAAATTGGAGTACAAATAAAAAATTATAACACTTTAAATAAATGAAAGTTTGTTTCTTTGGGTCCTGCATCTAGCTTTTTCTTCTGCGCACAAAAAGATTCAGAATTTTCCCGCTAGCCCCCAAAAAGATCTGAAACAAAGCTTCAGAATACAATAACAGAACACATAAACAATTAAACAGGCTCCATGAATCGAAAAATACAATCTTTAAGCGCATAGCAAGGCGATAACCAAATGGTTAAACTCGCAAATCGCAATCAAATGCGCACATCTAAATGCAACGAATCTAAACGCCTTGTAAAACGCTGAAGACATATATGAATCGACGAAGATGTCTGTATATCTAACAAAACTATCAGATTTGGGGGCATACCATTGCTCCGAGCGGTGTTGGATGAAGCTTAGCCGCGGGGCAGTTTCGCAATGGAAGAGGGAGCTCAGTGGAAAACCTGCTGCGATTAAATCACTAAACCCTACTGCGAATGGAAGTGGCGGATAACCCAATTGATTTTAAACGGGTATAGGGGGTGTTTGGAACTGATTCTGCTTCTGCTTCTTTTTTAAAAAGCAGAAGCAGAATCAGAATCAGTTTTCAGAAGCTGGTACCCCCCAGCTTCTAAAAAAACTGATTCTGAGAGTAAATTAGAGCTCCAGAAGTGCTTCTGGAATTTCACCCAAACACTCCAGCTTCTGCTTCTACTCCATGAAGGAGCAGAATCAGTTATGAGAATCATATCCAAACACCTCCTAAGTGTATAACTGTATCCTACTCTGCACTGCAACGTGTATACCTAGTACGGAGTACAAATTTATTAGGATGATTCCTTTGTACAAATTGTCTGTGTATACAGATAATTTGATATTAAGTTTCGCCTTTTTTAAATGAATTCCACGTATACACAGACAATTATGGGTTTTGTGTGCAATTTGTGTACAACTTGTGTACATTATCAATTTATTAATGTTGATAGTAGTGAACTAGTACTAGTATTCTATCAAAAAAAGTACTATTAATATAATAGTACCTGTGTCCCGGAAAGGTTGGCCATATTTACTTTTCTTGATCAATGATGGTAAACTTTGGACAATAATTTTAATTATTATATTTGTATGTAATTTATAAACTTTATACATTTATGAAAATATTTTGAATAAGAAACATTTTGATATCAATTTCATATTCTAAATAATTTCGTAATAAAAAATATCATTGGTCAAAGTTGATTACCATTGACCAAGAAAAGTCAATTTGGAGAACCTTTTCGGGAAATTGAAAAGCGAAAGAAGACTACCAGAAACATTAGAACTCCAGATATTGATATAAAAGAAGACTAAAAACTTCTCGATTGTGGGTATGTTTGGCACAACTAGCTGAAAAGATACTTTTGTGAATTTTTTAATGACTGTTAACTTTTGGTGACTGAAAAGATCTTAAAAAGAAAAGACGGTAGCTGTTTGGTAAAAAGCTGATTGTTTGATTTAGTTCGGTTTGGTATACAAGTTGTTAGGGCTAATTAATACTAAAAGTCACGGGCTTTTTTCAGATGTTACTGCCTGTGGCATCTCAAAAAAGATCTTTTAATTTTTTAAAAGCTTTTTGAAAATTGTCAAAAGTACAAAAGCTAAAAGTCAGAGACTTATGTCCGTCAAACATAGCCTGTATCATATGATGGATGGAAATGAAAAGAGTTAAAAAAAATCATGTCAGAACTATATACTGTAAATGCTACTATCTTACACTCTTTGTCCCTTAAAACTTTGTCAATTTTCCTTTTTTGGATGTCCCACTAACTTTGCCACCTCCTCTTTTAAGTAAATAATTTATGGTTTTAGTTAATTCTCTCTCATCTGTACAAACGTTAACCACACAATTTTTACTTTATGGTTTGTTTGTTTGGGGGTTAACCTAGGTTATTGAAGGTTCAATTTCTAGTTAACCCCGTTTGTTTGTATTTTTGTAACAAGAACCTAGGTTATGTGTTAACCTCACTTAACTCCCGAGAACCTAGAAGAACCTTAAATTGAAGAACCTCCGAATCGGGGGTTTTTGGAGGTTAAGTTCTCATTTAACATAAAATGAGCTAGAGTACCTTCATCCAAACAACATTTATTACATTAACCTAGGTTCACCTTCTATATTTCCAAACACTATTTTACGTGTGGATCTAGGTTCACTTAGATTAACACAGTTTTTATTAAAACTTAGGTTTACTTTATTACACTAGGTTTACTTAACTTCACTTTATCCAAACAGAGCATAAATTGAAGAACCTCCGAATCGGGGGGGGGGGGGGGGGGGGGGGGGGTTAAGTTCTCGTATAACATAAAATGAGCTAGAGTACCTTCATCCAAACAACATTTATTACATTAACCTAAGTTCACCTTCTATATTTCCAAACAATATTTTATGTATGGACCTAGGTTCACTTAAGTTAATCTAGTTTTTATTAAAACTTAGGTTTATTTTATTGCACTAGGTTTAGTTTACTTCACTTTATCCAAACAGAGGACCAGACTTACTTTTAATCCCAAAAGCCAATAATTTTTATTGACTATACTTAGAGTCAGAGTTTTCAAATGGTTATTCTTCAATTGTTAACGCATTGAGAGTCCGTTTGGTAGCACGAAAATCGACTGATTTGGCTGATTCTATTGAAACTTATGAAGTTGTGGCTGATGTGGCTGCATTGGCGGATTCTGTTGATTTAAGAAAAAATTATTTTAAAAATATATTTTATTAATTAAATAAAGAAAAAAAATGTATGTAAAAATAGCTAAAATGGTCATCTACAGTAACTTGAGTCAATACAGCTAGAAAAGTAACTTCAACCTTACTTTTTCAGTTTATTATGCAATTCAGCACGTGAAAACAAAAGTTACGTGTTTGGTGAAAAAAGATGAATGATAAGTCTGATAAGTCGAAAAACAGTGTTGTCAAACGGCCTCTCAATTGTACAACCACTTGTAATCAATTTGAACACATCATAACCCAATAAGCTCTTATACGTTTGCCAATAAGCTCCTTGCAAATGAGAGTTAATGCAAGAGTTTACGTTATTACGGTTTGGGTCTATTTGGAATTTTAGAAAGGCTAGCGAAAGAAAATAGGGAGAAAAATCTAGGGAAATAAAATGTGTGGAAAAATAATTTATTCTAAACAAATTCAAATTTTTGTTCCAACTCATTTTATTTGTTTATTTATTTCTATTACACATAGACTAATTAATCTAAGCATTTGTGAAAATTTTAAAAACATCACTCTTTTTGTTTTTTAACCCGGAAGGTAAACCACCAAAATCAGTGGGGCAAACGCCGGGGAACGTTTGCCGATGTTTTATTAATATAAAAAAGGAGAACAAAGAAGAGGGGACAAGACCAAAACCTCTTCAGAAAGGGCATTCCCTTTGGAAATACACTGAAAAGTACAATAAAAGCGAAAAACAGAAATTGGGGGGACCAAACCTTACCCAATTTAAAATAACAAAAAACAGAGATTAAAACATCAGTTAAGGAATTTAAAAGAAGGAATGCCAAAATAATCCATAAAAACATCACTCATTCTAACACATTCCGTGGTAAAACAAAGCACACAAAAATAACGTTCCAAATTATCACCCTATCAGTTCTGGTATCCAAGCACGCCCTTCATGTTGAATAAAATAGGGAAAACTGTCAAATACGTCCCCGAACTTTCATAAAAATGTCAATTAAGTCATTCAATAGGAGGCTCTGTTCAGCAATCGCGATTTGGGGCTGTTTCCAGTGGAATTTTTTGATGAATTTTTTTGAACATCTTATTCATCAAGTCTAGTTTACTCATACCAAATTTGAGCTAAAAATTCAATCGGGAACACATTCAAATTAATTCTTGAAGATAACTGCGCATTTTTGCGTTCTCGATTTAATTTGAATGCGTTCCCAATTGAATTTTTAGTTGAAATTTGGTATGAGTAAACTAGACTTGATGAATAAGATGCTCAAAAAATTTCATCAAAAAATTCCACCAGGAACCGCCCCAAATCGCGACGGCCGGACAGAGTCTTCTATAGAAGGACTTAATTGACTTTTTTGTGAAAGTTTGAGGACCTATTTGACAGTTTTCCCAATAAAATACTTGTAGGCTCTCACGTTCCTTCGAAGCCATCTCCAATATGAGTAGGATTTTGCCCGGGATACACAAAATGTGTACACATGTCTGTCATTCAGAGAAAATTTGTCTGTCACAGACAACTCATAATGAATTGTCTGTGACAGACAAATTTTCTCCGAAAGACAGACATGTGTACACATTTTGTGTACCAAAAGCATTTTTCATATGAGTATCAAATTGACAGTTTTGCTTTGTAATTTTTGTGGACACCCTATGGGCAATGGTGGACACATCCAGGTCCGGCTCATAGCATCTCACGGGCAATGACACTGGGCCCAAAATTAGTGAAGGCCCCAAAAAATTAGTATTATTAATTTTTTTATTGTAGTAATATTAATTTAACCAAAAAGCCTCAGCCCATTATTAATTTAATTTGAATTTATTAACTAACTCAAGTCAAGTAACTTGTGGTCTGATGACATCACTGTTGATCTTCTAAAGGGGACGTCGCAAGTTCGAGTCTCATCTCAAGAATGTTGGTGTTAAGAGGAGCATATACTATAAAAGGTTTAGAAAGAAGAGAAAAAGCCTGAAATAGTCCCAAACTATTATAACAATACTCAATTTAGTCCCACTCTTTTTATGTGACCGTAATACACCCCCAACTCTCATGACTTTGCCAACTTTAGTCCTAAAGCACATTGGTTGTCTACCTCCGTTAGCTAAGAGGGCATTGTGCTAAAATTTTACGTAGTATTAAATTACCTCCAAACTAACCCTAATGTTCTTCATAGTCGAGAAAGAGGTTCCATAAGAACACTCTGGTACATTCTAAGTTAGCTCAACCTAGAAACACATAGTATGTCTTCTTGATAAAACTCCGGTCTGGGTAACAGTTAAAAGACAGAATTTTTCAAGAGAAGAAGAGAAAACAATGAAGAGGAAGAAGTTGAGCGTCCAAAGTCTGCCCCTTTCATTCACCGATGCAAACATAAATACAGGATGGAAAATAACTGCTCATAGCCCATATTGGCACTACCGTAACTACTCCTACAAATTAGGAGACATATTAAAATAACTGCTACAAATTAATAGAAAACTAATATGTTGTAGACTAAAATTAAAATAGGAGTTGTAGTCTATCTGAAAGTCCATGTGTGCACTCAACGATTCATCACTTCTCCACATCAAAGAGTCTTCATCTGCAAGTTCAAGCAAATGGTTGAGGAATCGGTGTATTTATAGTGAGTTAGTAGCAGTTTTGTAATGCCATTACGATGAAGAAACGGAACTGAGCACAACATGAAGGAAGGGTGATCTGGGAAGGAGGTACTAACAATGTACAGGAAACAAGGTCGTACTAATTTCTTCTCATTTATATTACTTTAAATATTCTTACTTTTTTTCCTAAAAAGAAAAAATGCAGGAAAGGC